ATTTCGGTACTATTAGAAGCATTGTGGGGCTGGTGAGATGGCTCAGTGGTCTAAAGCACCTACTTAGAACAAGCTAAGCTAAGCAAAGCACAGGGACCGCGTTCAATCCCCAGCACCACATGCTAGCCGGCCCCACCCCCTGGTGGGCTGAACTGGACACACACACACAAAATAAACAAATAAACAACAACAACAAAAATTAATTAAAAAAAAGAAGCATTGTGGAATCAATCTCGTTCCTCCTCCCCAATACACACTCTTTATTTCCACATCGATTGCTTAAAAGAGATGTTACCTTCTCAAATCCTCACAGTGAATTTTGTTTAATAAAAAATTCACACACGCTCATTCAATAGAAAAACAAATGAATCCCCAGTACCCACCTTTCAATTCCCTTTCTTTTGAATGAGCCAGTTTTCTTCATGGGTTGCTGGAATCTTCGATACTGGCCAGCTCCTCCACAGGCACCCTTAGCGGATACTGGTAGGTGGAGCTGAGGGTGATTCTTTGTGGGTTCTTTTGCTGGGGTAGCTGTTTTGGATTTCTTTAACTCTGCAGCTCAAAATTTCAAAAGGGAGTTATCCAGGGACTGCGGGCACTATTGAGTGCTAGGAGGTTTTGAGTAAAGGAAAATTTTGGAATCTCCTTCTTATTCCCTTACAGGTTTTAGAGACATAATTTATGGGACTGGCCCTGTTCCAACTTCAGAAAGGTCACCAATGATGCATTTGACAGAACAGTGGGAAATTCCATGGTACATTGTGGAATACTTCGTAGATTGGATCTGACCATGTGACAAAAGAATCATACGCCAGTTGGCGATCACATTCAGATGCACATGTTTATATTCGAAAGCGGGGGAGAACCTACAGGAAGACCCACAATCTGTTGCTCCACATAGCTTGAGCTTCTTTAGATCTGTCAGCTGGGACCTGGAATGCTCTGTGACCTGGAGGACACCCATAGGAAGAGTCTAGTGGTTGCTCTGTGCCCCAAGGGCTATTTTATCACATACTAGAATTCTGTAGTTCTCTCCTAAAGTACAAGGCTGAAAAGGTAGAGAATCGGGCCCAGCCAGTTCAGCTTTCTGCATTTATTACAGCAAGAGCAAATTCTGCCTGGGTGGGAGTTTCGCCTCCAGGTGGCAGCAAACACTAAGATTTATTCCCATTACTGGGGTGCTCCGGCTCAGGCTCACTAGGTGCTTAAGGAGGTGAGCTCCTCCTGCTTTTTGTGTCTGCATTCATCAGCAATCTGGATCGTGCTTCTCCAGCTTCAATGTGCACAGGAGTTACCTAGGATTCTTGTTTAGAAGCAGGAGCCCTTATGCAACCCTTAGGATGGGATCCAAGAAGTTGCATGGCTAGCAAACCCAGGTGACCGTGACAATGCGTGACAGGCCTATCGACCTTGATGGCTAGCAAACCCAGGTGACAGTGACAATGCGTGACTGGCCTATTGACCTTGGAGCAGTGGGGGGTCTCACACACCCTAAAACTTGGGGAAAGAGTTTTAATAGCTCAAGAGGTTAGAGCGAGGCACAACCATAGACTTGGACTTGCGGAATGGTTTGGTCAATGAAACCTGGAGCTCAATCCCCACTACCAAAACCCAAGAGCACAGAGAGTAACACTGAGGGGTTAGAAGGCGGCACTGGGGTACACACAGGTCCGCCTTCCAGCCCAGGAACGTGGCTTTTGTCTACCCACTTAACCAACAGGGGATGCTTCCTCACCTTTAGGCGGGGAATACTAAGAGTTCTGAGCTGTAGCTTTATAGTGAGTTTCAAATGAAGTAGAAAGTGCTCCAGCAAGACACAGACCCAGGATTTAGGGGGAGCATCCCAGGAGATTGTTGGCCCCATTGTTTTTTAACATATTAAAAAAAAATCACTACGCAGCTTGGACTCATAGTGATCCTCCTGTTTTCAGCCTCCCCGGCACTGGGATTACAAGTGTGCCAGTCTCCGTGGCTCGCTCAGTGTGCCTGGGGGCAGGGCTGGCACGGCCTGTGGTGCCAGAGATCAAACACTGGTCCCTGTACTTGCCTAAGCAAGTGCTTAGTCCACTGAGCTATCTCACTGGTCCCTACCCCACGTTTTGAGAACTGTAACACACATAGGAGTATGATTTGGCCAAGCGGGCTTCCGCTACTATCTGGTCTGTTTTCCCCGCTCTCTGCTGGAATCCCTGTGTATTTGCCAGAATGAATGAACACATGACCGAGCATTTTCTTTAGCAATAGGCCAATACTTTTTCCTGCAGTATTTCTGTCTTAATTCTGCCACACTCAGCCAGATATCCAGCCGACTGTGCTTGCTAGGATGAGAGCTGGAGTTTACTCATGCTCTGCGTGTCGGCGTCTCGTACGACTCCAGGAGCGCATTTCCTTGTGTATTTACAGTGTGTAGAGGCCTGAGACATTGGCTGCAGAGGTCTCTGCGGCAACATCGGTAGGCCACGAAAGACCTTGAAGCAGCTCGAAGGAGGAGGTGGGTGGGAATCAGAGCTCAGGACAGCTCTGGGCTGGGTCTGAATTCAGGTAGCAGTTTAGGCACTGTGGTCTTTGTGTGGGCGAGAAAGCCTTCCAGGACCTCATTTTCTCATTCCTAAAACAAGAAGTGATGGCTGCCTCCCAGGGTCTTTTTATTCTTCCCATACTCAGTAAATATTTGAGTGCCTTGTGGTTGCCAGGCACTCCTTAGACACCAATGCCATGCAGCAAACAGCACACACGCAGTGTTTCACCTCATCTAACTTAGCACACAGTGAGAGAGGCTGCTAACACACAATAAATGAGAAAATTAATTCTATTGAGTGGTAAATGCTATGAAGAAAATAAAAGAGGATGACAGATGAAGTGATCGGGGGAGAGGCAGCGTTAGGGGGGATGCCTGGAGAGCCTGCCTGCTGAGGTCACGGGCCCAAGGCTAGCATGGCAGTGGTTAATCGTGTGGAGACCCGTGCATTCCAGGCAGATGGGCTGGCAAGCATCAAGGCCCCGAGGTGGAAGAGGGCTTTGAAAATGTGTCAGAGACCTGAGGTCCCAGGAGCAAGGAGATGGATGTGGCCTGCAAGCTGGAGAGGCGGCGGGGCCAAGCCTGCTGAGTCCTGCTGGCCACATTAGAGCTTCTGATCTCGGTCTTCAGGGCAGTTTTTAAAGAGCTGGTTGGTGTACATGTCCTCTGGGCAGAGGGAGTCAGCAGTGAGGAAAGTGACTGAAGTCCTGGCCTGGGAGTGACAGCGCTAGCAGACGACCAGACACTATGTTCTTAAGAGGTCAGTTATTGTTAGCACTGATGCTATGAGAAGATTAGGAAATTGATAGAAAGCGCTCAGGAGTGTCCCAAGTGGCCAAGAAAGATGTGTTCAAGGTGACAGATGAGGGGGCCGGGACATGGCTCAGTAGAATAAGCACTTGCCTGGCAAGCGCAAGGGTCTGAGTTCAAATCCCTGGTTCCACCAAAAAACAAAACAAGGTGACAGATGACATTTGAGGTGGGACACTTAATGTGGAAAAAAAGACCAACTATGCTAAGCTCTGGGAGAAGTAAAGAGGTATTTCAAAGATGGAAAATCGTAAGAGCAAAATGTCAGAGCTGGACGTGAAGAAGGCAGGTGGGGAGGAAGGAAGAAGACCAGGGTGGTAGGAATACAGGCAGCAGGAGAAGGATTGTGCTCAGCTTAAAAAGAATTGCTTGGGAAGAGCGCTGACGAGGAAAAGGCGTGGCTAGGCGCGGCTAGGTGCAGGCCTTGGGTCGGGGTGGGG